AATTTCCTGCAGACCAGGCCATCAGAAACCAACACAAGTTCCCCTTGCATAATTTTCCAGCGTAATTACACCTACTCTGTATATTTCAGTAATGCTAATTTTAATTGTTTCTTAAATGCCCTGTATTTATTAGCGTTCTTATGTCTCCATGTTATGGTATCCAATGGAGAGTTCAAAGGCGTTCGCCTACCTTTTATCTTGATAAAAACTGAACCGAACTGCAGAAAGACCGAATGAGCACCTCCGACTTAATATTCCTCGTCGAGTATTCCATCCTAACACTTTGTAGCCTGACGGCGTCGGCCGTGCCAATAACCTATGCCTCATCTCGCATCCAACCTGCTTGACACTGAATGCAGGTGGGTGAGGGAAGAAAGAGGCTGGACGATGCCGTGCAAATCTGCCATCATTTGAAATAATCCACACCAAGTCACCGTGATGCACACTATCGAAACTGAGGGTCGAACTATCGGTTGACCCGGCTGTGAGCTCCGGATGTATGCCAAATGGTGAACAGAGAGCTGGTACTTAGGCAAAGATACCTTGCGAAATAGGCAACCTCTGGAGCCCGAATAAGAATAAGTTAAAACACACCATACTATGACAGCACCCTCTATCAGGACAGGTCTACAAGGTGGCAGTCTCTTTTGCCGACTGTTTCTAGGATGCCGGCGAAACAAAAACGCATGCCCTCCGACTGATAACTGTGTTACCAAAACTGCGAGTAAGAAGTGCTCAGAGAGGAGACTGGGACTTTTCGAGCTCAAAAGTGGGCGCGGCGTTCTTTTATTGAAAGTCATAGGGAAAAATAAAGACATACATTTACAGGTAGGTAGACGAAGGGAGCGCAAAACCTGAGGAGGGTAAAATTTTAGGGAGAGACACAATCGCAGTGAGTGTGTGTGTGTGTGCATGTGGAGGTGTGCGTTAGGGGCAGGAGGCGTGGAATGAGCCGACCAAAGTGGACGGAAGCTGGAATGTTGATTGCTTTGGGGTGTACGTTTTCAAAATGCCTGAGCCCACACCGACTGGACATCAAGAGGCAACAATGGCAGAGTCTGAGGGACCAACGGAACTGGGTTTCCGATGTAGGATATTGCGTAGGTTTTGGATTTCAGACTCCTGAAGGTGTACCTCAGCTGTGGTTTCGGTAAGCTGCGATGATTGAAAGTAGAAGAGGGTATGATCAATAAAAAGGATAATTTTAAGGGTCCTCATCCCGACTTTAGGTAAACGTGGGGCGAATTTTCGCGTTCTAGGTGAATGAATAAGCAGGGAGAAGAAGATAGATGAGAGAGAATACGAAGAAGAGGAAAAGGAGGAAGAGTGATGATGAAGAAATAGGAGTAAAAGGCCAAGGAGAAGAATCATAAAAAGAGGAGAAAGAAGGGGGAGAATGATAAGAGGAGGAAGAAGAAAATAAGAGGAGGATTAGGAAATGGAGGAAAAGAAGGACGAGGAATAAGGGGGATCAGGAGAACAT